CTATATTTGGAACACACCCTCCGGTCCCCCTTCTTGAAAAGAGGGACCACCACCCCAGTCTGCCAGTCCAGAGGCACTGTCCCCAACCGCCATGCGACGTTGCAGAGGCGTGTCAGCTAAGACAGCCCCACAGCATTCAGAGACTTAAGGTACTCAGGGCGACTCTTATCTACCCCCGGTGCCTTGCCACTGAGAAGCTTAAAATAAAAAATGATTTGACTTACTAACTTGAACACATTGATATATAACTTGAACAGTGAACAATATAAGGATACTGTATGTAGCACATGATTAGCACAGATTTCAGTGCAAGAGAAATGAGTATTTCTTCCACACCGTGTGGTCTGTGAAATCTGTTATTCTAACAAATGTAGTTGCTAAGTAAAACAGCAATTTTCCACAGCCTTTTGTTTTAACCTGAAAATGTGTTAAACGAGGGTCAAACAGAATAAAAGATGATTCCTAACATATAATAAACCATTTGTTTAGGATGACAGACCATACCATTCAAGGACTGGTCTGTCTTATGTTTGGCTGTCTTTGCATATGGCTTTAAAATCTGCAAATTTAAAATCAAATATTATGTAAAAGTTAATGGTACCATGTAGATGTGTGGCAGGTAACCACAGATCTCCCTGAACAGCTGACAACCAAAGAGGCAGACTTGAACTGAGAGTGCAATGTATGAAGTCTAAATTGTTCAGTGGGTGTTTTTCCTGCTGGGGAGGAAAGTGACAGCAATGATATAATCACTGAATGCGACATGTGGGCTTTGTCACTTGGGAGGAATATTAAATTAATCCCCATGTCATTGTCTGTCAATACCATTCAGCTGAATGAGAACTACAGCAATAATCATGAACAGCAAACAGCAAAGCTTAAGCTGATGTGTTATTACAAAACTCAATAAGGCACAAATTAGCAGGAGACATTATCAAAGGTGGAGGTTTCATTTGAAATTACACCAGTAAATGTGACAATGGGGTTTGATTATGAGGTTAGCCTGTGTGTGTGTGTGTGTGACAGCTGAATGGGAATGGGAGAGGCGTGATAGAAACAGACATGTTGATGGTTGGGAAGAAGCCACCTCTGTATTTGTGAGTGCATGAAAAACTCACATAGTATGTGTTGTCATCCTCATTGTAAGCCAGCCTGACAACGCCATAGGAGCCCTGGTCCAGGGAATAAGTAAAAAAGAATAGAAGCCAGTGAAGTCAGATTGAGCAGCTGTCAATTCCTCATGTAAATAAATAAATAAACTGCGCTGTGCAAAGCAAACATTCTAAATACAGTACATACAAATACACACAGGAACAAATACACAAACACATACACACAAGGGAAGTGAGTGGGCTGACAGTGTAACGCTGAAAGAATACCAGATGCTTCAAAGTGAGAACAGAGAAATTCAAATGATCTCTCCCTCTCCTTCATTTCTGATTTCAGTCTAATTAAGGAAACTGGATCTGATTTATGCTATCAAGCTCCCCTGCCCACACACAGGAAATTCAGGTTAAAAACTAGGCCCAATTAGTCGCCTGTGTGCACACATTCATGCATAAATAGAGAGAGAGAGGGGGGAGGGGGCAGGATCAGTTCCTGCTGGGGGAGCAGATTGGAGAGGCAGCACAGAGTTCATCCCACAGTCCCAGAGATGATCTGATAACAGGAACTTCATCTGCAATCCTGAAAGGCTCTAATTGTCTCAGCTGAACACAAATTAACCTGTCTACCTACATGCGTAAATATACAGACATGCACATTCTGGCTTTTTAAACCACCAATCTAAAATGTGCCTACAAATACACACATCCCCTCTCTCACACACCCACACACTCATATCCACTAAGCCTCGCACAGCCCTTAGAGAGCACTATATATACCAGCCTCTCATCCATCTTCCAACTCTCCCAAGGCCTGGTAGTTTACACAGAGTTTGGGAAATGAGGACAGCTGGGAGAGAGGATATCAGAGACTGTCACTGCATGTCCTTGATGATGTGCACTACTTGACAGACATGTAGTAGGCGAAAGGAAGGAGAAAATGGAAGAGTCAGTGAAAGGGAGCAATCAGTGAGTTGTCTCCGATGGTACCTTTCCAATCTCATCTTTCAGCTTGTACTGGTTGAGTTGAACACAGTCCTTGAGGAAAGAAAAAAAGAGGAGAAATTGTTTTCTTTACTCCAGAGACATGTACATCATAACTGTTCTGCTTTTCCTAAGAAGGCTATATGAAATTCTGTCCAGTGAATTTCCATAAAAACAATTTTTCAACTCATAGGCGTAGTCTTGTGCACATCAGTGTTGCCTGCCTTTCATGTGCTTGTGAGCATGTAGTAGGACTGCAATCACAACTGCAGCTGAATTAGTCATTCTCTAAGATTCATTCAAAGTAAAACCTCTACCTTGACTAATCCAGATTTACAGCTGATTGGAAAGCAGCTCATCAAAAGTAAGCATAAGATAAATCCAGACGGACATGTTACCTACGTTAAGGCGCTAATCTTGCAGTGTGACTGATATTCTAGAGGCAGGATGTGTATCACGGCTTTAATAGTTTTGTGGTCCATTTTGTAGTGTGTAGAGGGAACAAGCAGTCTAGCACAGGTATACTCTACCCTCATTTTATGATGAGAAATAGTGTTGATTTAAAACAATAACCGATGGGGCCACACTGCTGAGAACAAACAGAGCCCAGAACACAGAGAATGATTCATGCGAACACCTAGAGATGCACAGAATAACCAGATCCTCATTAAAAGCACCTTTTAAAATGTAGTTTATTTGACTGTTTATCTCTAGACTAGATGATTAAAAGACATAAGTGTCACAAAAAAATTATGGGAATACAGAATTCAGAGAAATTAATGTTAATGTAAGGAAGTCTCCACCAAAAGAGGGCATCTCAAATATTTCACCAAATTAACCTTTAGGTATTTTTCCACACCTTAAATATCTAAGAGATTCTACCTACATTACATGACACCTACAGGCTTCTGCATTTACTGTGTGTATAACAGGCATCACAGCTACAGGATTACCTACATCTACTGAGATTGTAAAACCTTACCTTCACATCCACAAAGCTCAGTCTTAGCTTAGCAGCTGCTGCTTTTAAGACAAATGCACATGTAGTTCTGCTTACTCTCAGACAAGTGCGATACTGATATTGTGATAAACTCACAGATGTTCAAGAGGAGCACCTCTCCAAGGGCCTGGCTCTCTGTGAACATTAGTTTGTTCATTCATGTGTAATAATTTATGCAATGTAAGTCCTTAAGGGAAAACATGTAAAATGGTGTAGAGCCCAAAGATTATATAATCATAACTATTATTAAACTGCCTCGAACCACGTATTAGATGATTTTCAGAATCTCTTGGTCATCTGATTACTCACAGACATATAAATCGGACTACATTCTACAGAGTACATATTAAAGCAAACTACTGGAATCAATATGGCAACCAGTAATTATAGCATGATTTTGTATAAGCAGCATTAACTTTGTTCCAGACAGACAGAGACACATTAAAATACTGGAATCACATTAGCCTCAAGGCTTGACATACCTGGAGGTCTATAATGGAAACACTGTGGGACTCCACAGTGGGCCGGCGGGGTAAGCGTGGAGTGGAATGGGGTGATGTAATGGGGGAGTAGGGTAATGATGGATAAATATAGCGCCCGTTAAGTCCTGGAGAACTGCATGGTGATGTTGCAGTATGTGAACGCTCTTGCAAAGATAGCTTCCTGTCTGACAGGTTTAATCTCCCCCTTTGCTCTTGGCTTTCAGGCAGCAGAGACTCTGGCTGGCCAACTGTGTGGGATAGCAGGTCGCAGGATGGAGTCCGGAAAGTTGCTGCCATAGAGGAAGCTGGCTCAGACATCTCAGAGCTGTCCATTTCTTCTACCTGAGATATGATACACAGCTTTAAACTCCTTCCTTATACTGTATGTTCACACATCATGTCTTATATGTAAGTGTATATGATGGTCAGTATGTTGTATTTGTCTGTGTCACCTTTATATACAGTTGGTGCTTATTTTCCAACTAAGACTTTACATTTAAAAAGAATGCAGTGGTATAATTTAATACATTTTTACCTCCCTTCTTTTTCTGTATTTACAACAAGAGGGCCAAAATAATAGTGACAATAACACAATCCAAGCTGAAACACAGGCAATAAAACTATATAAACCAATGTGCCAAATGCTGAATCCACTCTTTCTCATGATCTCTGCATTTTGATATCAAATTAAAGTGAAAAATCTTAATGTCTACATAGTCTCGCAATCATAACTACACAGTGTTAGTAAGTACCAAAAACTATGAGCATGTATCATCATTTGTCAAGTAATCATTTTATTCAGCCATTTAGAAACCCAAATGTCCAATCAGGTTAGGTCTGGGTGTGTTATATTTAGCATAGTGTTACAAGGGCATTTTTCATCTTACCTCCTCCTCCTCCCCTGCCTCTCCAGGTGGTCTGCTAGGTTCGTACTCTGTGACCACAATGAGGGACTCCATGGGGTCTGGGGAGGGTGTCTCAGAATGGGTGTTCATAGGCGGAGTGGGACAGCTGCACAGTAGATCAGGCAGGGGTTGTGAGGGCTGCGCTGGGGGTGCATGGCTGCCACAGGAGGCCGGTGGCTCAGCAGAGGGCCAGGGGCTTATATGACAAGGAAACATGGTGCCTCTTCACAAAGACTGACAACCACTTCTCCATCAGATGGTAATGGTGCCTATGACACAAGAGCGGAAACTGCAGAATAAGAAAATAATTGTGGAATTAGAATTGTAATAAAATAAAATAAAAAGTGAATAATGAATAATTGTGCACCTCTCCCACTTGGCACATAAAGCCCCCAGTGGTACTTAGGTAATGTTACAAGAGCTTTTTGTCTCTACCCATCATGAGATGTTTCTTGTGTGACAGTTTGGTAACAAATGATGCATTCAACCATTTTAAGAGTGGAAGTACTTATATCCACATGCAATTAGCAGAGGCACGAGAACTAATTAGTGAAATCACATTATTATATTCTTTTTCTTACTGTGTGTTCAATATATTTTTGTCATTCCAATGGCTACACTGGAACTATGTCTAATAAAAAACATTTTGATGTGTTGAATACTTCTGTCCCCCCACTGTATCTCACAATGAATGACAGAACGGCACCTTCAACCAAGTCTATCTGGGACTGAACCTCTGGTCATCCTAGCCAGTCCTGTTCAGCACAACACCTTCTCCTCTTTAGCAAAGTCTGCTAGAAATCTTTATATCATGAGTATCTGTCACTCTCTAATGTGGCTTTGCATTATGTAACATTAGAAAAATCTGGTCCTATCTGGCTGAGTATACTGCTCATTTCTCTCTACAGGCACCTGCCAGCTCACACATTGATTACCGCAACTCTCCTCTGGCAGGACTGCAGCAAATGGTCCAAATAGGAGCCAGCATATCTGCTTTTCCATTAGGCAAAAAAAAGCTCATATCACTATGCTTTTCTTTAGGCTCCCTGTTGCTACTTACAATAAACTCAGGTCACTAATGCTTGCTTGTAGATTGGCCACTATCACGGCATCGACACACCTGAATTCCCTCTGAATCCTCCTGGCATCCTACTGCCACAGCGAGACAGGAATCCTTTCCTTCATGTTTCTTTGTTGGTTACCCAACTCAGTTCCTTCAGCAGTCTCTTGCTCTCTGCAAACACTGCTTGAAGTCCTACCTCTTTGAGAACCAACTCACAATGTTTCTTTCTTCCTCCGTTGACTGTTCCTCCTCCTATCTCTCTCTGTCAAAAAATAATACCATTTGCACCTGAAATCTTGTGTCACCTGTGCCGGGTATAATTTGGTTCTGAGCGTTTTTGGCTGCGAATAATTTAGGGCTGGCATAAATCCTGTGACAAGGTATGACAAAATTTATGCGTACATCTAACGTTTAATTACCTTAGCACACAGCTGGAGTGCAGTGCTTGACTAGCCAGCATGAACCAAGCTGTGGGTGTAATTAAAGGACGTGGGAAAAACAATCAGAGATGCTGTTCATCAGCTCTGAAACATAAGCAGATACAGCTCTTTCTATAAAAACCATCTATGGGCACATTCTGTTAAACACTAACTAAGGCTTGCAAACATATCTATTACCACAAAGTTCAGCTCTAAATGAGGTGATCTGATGCATCTATAAAAGCTAAGGTTCAGACTGCTTTTGATGTTAGTTATACAACATGGTTCATTATTATCTGCACTGCATTTAACCAAAACCTGTTTTGCATAATTTCAAGAGGACCATTTCTATCTCCAAGTCCATACATCTTATTATCTGCTCATTGTCTGTGAGAGGAGTGGAGGGAGAAGGAAAAGAGGGATGACAGAGAGGTATATACTTGATTTCTGTCATAGTTTCAAAAGGATTGCAGCACTGTTAGTGTGTGGGCGCTGAGTAAATCTCACAGATACAGAAAAACAAAGAGAAGCCATAAGAAAAACAAGACAGTAGGAGCTTCAGCCAAGTTCAGAATAAGGACTGTGTGTGGGAAGAGACACCCCCGCCAGGTGGCCTCTCTACCTCCATCACCAGCCTATATATACTGTAGTGATGTCAACTAATAAAAAAAGAAAGAATCATCACACATTTACACAGAAACTCACATTGCACGTAATTGATTCATGGACATAAACTTACTTGTTGGTCTTCCTGAGTGGTTTCTGCCTTTACAGAAACAACTTCCTTGTTATTATTATGGAATATTATATGCTTTGCATGTTAGAATTTCCTTCAAAAGTACAACCAATTTGCCATCTACCCAGTGCTCATTGTTAAGGCTGTGTGCTAAGAACGCCTCCAGGAGAGACTACATGAGTGTCTATCAGTATGTGGCTGTTACGACCTCGACTATTTGTAAAAGCAGACGCTCTTGTGGCATTTATTAGTTTCATTCAGCTGAAAAAAAAAAAGCTCTTGGAATCCAATCTCACTTTCAACGCATAATATCACTGCTACGAAAGTAACACAGTGTGCCCTCAGAAGTGGACTCAGCCTCAGTGGAGTACAGAAAAATAGACATAACCCTGGATGAAACACACATACACCAGTTAGTAGGTTTTTTATATCCAGAATAGAGAGGAAACTTATCAAGGCCAACCTATTTTGATCTAAGATATATGATAACGGACGCATCAAAGCCTGTTTCCGTTTACATGAAGAGGTTCTTCTGCAGTTTCTGCATTGGTGATATTATAAAACACAAAACCACAAAACGCAGCTGATGCCAGGGCTGCAACTAAGAACTATTTTCTCAATTAATCTTCGGAAAATAGTTAAAAATTCCCACCTCCATATTCCAGGGGATGTCTTTTAATTGCTGGTTTTGTCCAATCAATAACACACAGACATTCACTTGACAATGATAAAACTGCTTTTAAAAATTACTTGAACAATTATCAAAGTAGTTCTGTTGGTTAAATAATCAAGACTTGGTCCTGCTCAAGATAAGTCAATTCAGAAGGTAAACTGAAGAATGTTGAAATATAATTTTTACTAATAACTAAACTGTAACACTTCTGTTGCACAGTCTTATTGTATTAGATTTGAAACAGCTTCCGATATTTTGCTTACAGAATATTTTAAGGTACTGTAGACAAATGTGTCAACATAGACCTTTTTGGATACAGCGTACCTTCTTCCTGAAGCATAAGAAGATGCATTTCAAAGACTGTGTGAATCTACAAACTACCAAGTTACAACAATGTTATGACGTGAGCACACATTTTAATTAACATACAAACTGATAATTTCGCCTATGAATTTAACAGAACTAAATACAAGTCAAAAGACTGAAAATACTGGAACAATAATAGGAACTGTAAACGAAATTACAATGGGGCGCCTGCAGACGGGCGATACTGACAGTCATTATTTATGTTAAGGTAAATGGGATACATAATACTGAAAACATGTTTCCATGTAGCTATTTAAACCTTTAGAATTGCTATCACTTCGTTTTCTGCAATTTCGAAAATGCCAATTACAACTGCCATACATGTTTTACTGTTTGATTTAACTGGCAAATCATGGTTGCAGTCATTGTTTACTTGCACTCATAAATGAGCACTGCTACACTGAATGAAACATTAACTCCGAAATTCACAAGGAAGCCAGGTGAAGTCTCACCGAGCTAACTTAGCTCTAAAGCCAACCAGCTCAGCTAACGTTAATGTTTAGCAGCTGCCTCATCTGCCAACATACAGATGTTGTTGGGCAGGAGTCAAGGATGCTAGTGCGACCGAGTAACATTAAGGTCCATAGTAGCATGACAAAGCTACAGAAGACACAAACCCACTGTCAGATAAAATAAAACCCTACCTTAACGTGTTCCTCTGGCCTACAAGTCACAATTGTGAGGTTCTTTAGCCTCCTTCAGCTGCGGTCTGAGTAGCGTCTACACACCGACAGCTAGCTAGCTGTTTGACAGACGAGAGATTGTAGCAGACCGATAACGACGTTGTGACGGACCAATCCAGCAGAGCTCTCGGGTCCCGTGCTTCACATGGAGGAAGTGTTGACAAAACCGGCTGTGTGATAATTCAGCAGTTTCTGCGACATACTGAAAAATTAATCCGTGGAGAAAACAAGCTGCCTTTTGTTCCGTTTCGTTTAACTCACGACCTCGGAATAACATTTCAGTTTGTGGACTTCTGCCTCAAGAGATTTGAAGTCGGATGGCTCCCCCTTGTGGGGTGTTGTAGCGCTGCACTGTGGAAATAAAGCCGCTTTGGCAAAGGTTTTAGTTTTCACTTGTTTAGTTTTAACACATTACTCAAGCTTAAGAACGTTACTCGACACCACACTAACCACATATTCTGTCACGTTACAGTAACATGTAACATCCAATCCTTTCAATTCAAGATTTAGTTTAGCTTCTATTTCTCCTATGGTGATAGAACAGTGTGACAAATCTGCAGTGGTTTACTCTGTATGGCAGAGCTGAACAAGGACCGAGGCAAGACTGTTTATTCCCAGACAGCTGAGTCACATGCTACATGTACTGTAACATTGTTAACCACAATGTATTGTTCACACACTATGTGCTAGAAATCTATGGTGCTAAATCCAACTGGGGCAAGAGGATGACAACTGGGATGATTAAATAGATCGGCCATGTAAACCTGGCCTTCAGTGAAACTGAACTAGGGGAACTACCTATACTCCAGAATATCCAAATTAAGTTAAGTAGAGGACAAGACATCAAATTGAAATGTTGATTTTAATTAAAAAATGAAATTAAATCAATAAACTGCAACAGACAGGACTTCAAACATTATCCAAGATATCCAATTCAAAAAAGACAAGTGAAAAATGAAAGACTATACAAAGCAAGATAGCTGAAGCAATTATCGCCTCTTCTGAAAGATGTTGCCTCTTCCCATTCCGCCACGGCCTCGACCCCTTGCTGCCACTGCAGAGAAACAAGAAATCACATTTTAGAAACATCTGTATGACTCTGTATGATAGGCAGTGTTTGACTGGTCAGGTGAAATTATCCCAGAATAACAGATCATATAAACCCCTATTTGTTCAGCAATGTACCCTACTCCAAACAGGTCTGCTACATAGTTAATGAAAAGATGCAGTGGGGTGGGTAGCACAATAACAGAGACACATTTTACCATTTAATGCAATGTAGTAAAATCTTTCATATTTAAAATGTTACCTTTGGGAATCTAACATTTGTGTCAGAGAGATGCTGAGACAGGTCTAATTTTGTAGCCTTGTTACAAAGGGGACAAATTATGGGGTATGTCTTAAATCAGAATTCAATACACCACAGATTGCAGCCTTAAAAAAAAAACATTACACCATCTATTCAAGTCTAGGAGATATCATCATTGTAATCTTAGAGTTACAATCCCATCATGTCAAAACATGCACACAAGTTCCTGCAAAATGTAAACGGATCTATAATTACAGTGCTTATAAAAGGTAAAAGACTAGCAAAGTCAGTACTTTTGTAAACTAATTAAATTAAGTATAAATGTCGAGGATGTGATGAGGTTAACATAAACCCATTGATCTCTGAACTGTCTGGGAAGCTGCTGGTCCAAAAGCTTCATAGTCACCTTGTGCTTTGAGAATAGCTGCCTTGCCCCTTCCTGCACCAGATCCCTGGTTCTTGTTCTTCATACTCTTTAACATAGGAGCATTCTTTAACATGTCAGGCAAGATCAGAAAGCGGATCTTGCTGCCACGGATGTAGACTTGCTCCAGCTGTGCCACCCGGCCATCACGATAAGTCACTGTGATATTGGACATCTGTATTGATAAAGGAAAATTATTTTAGCGACATGAAACATTAAATCAAATAAGTTGATAGGTACTTGAGGACCAGGGCCAACAGCTGTTTTGTCCAATAAGACTCACCACCAGATGGTGGAGCTTGCAAACCCATTAACCAGAAGTCAGCAAAAACACAGCCTACTGTTTCATCTTGTATGGTCAATCATGGACCCAAAACAGCACATATTTAACTCATATAGCCTCAATCTGATATGGCAATAGAAACCAAGCCCACGAAAATCAACCCCGAGAGTTATTCCCAAAAAAGGAATAATCTGTAATTCTCCTTAAACATCCCACTCATTGATTGTATTCTTTTATTTCCAAACACATTTCATTTACAGGCTTTATTTACTACACAACTGGAGAGGTTACAACACTGTATAAAATGTGTTCAAGTAATCAAGTCCACCGACCACCTATTAAACACTTCTCTGAACCATTTTAGGTCCCAAAAGGCACAGAAAGAGACAACAGGTAGGTAGTGAAACCAGGCTGGAGAGAGGGGTGTAATTTCTGAATACTGCTCATCCTCTATTTGTCAAGACCAACCTGGCAGTTCATGTTGTCCTCAGCCTCGATCAGCTTGCCCCTGTACACCTCTCCGGTGTTAGTCTCACAGGTTACAATGTGTCCCTCTGCCTCATGCAGGACCTTGATTGGTACCCCAATGGACATGTTTCTTCCTGAAGCACAACAACATGTATTATGGTAAATTTTACAAAGTGTTGTCCCATAATGCAATACGGCCAGCCCGCTCTCCCTAATCTACCTTTTTGTTGAACAATGTTTTTAGTCGGTGGTTTTTGCCACTATATCCGGTTATTTTAAGTGTGTGAAATTTTTAAACTGCTGGAAAACCACCAGCTGAGTCAGTTATTAAATACACATTTATGACATAAAAATGTAACGTTAGGGTACATTATTGGGCACAGTTTCCCGTATCGATGCGTAAGGAATGACGATTTTTATGAATTCATTAAATGCGTTAGCCAAATCTGCACAGCTTGCACCTATTCCTGAACAGAGCCACTATTCTGTTAGAATATTATAGCAAGCTGATATATATCTGACCTTTGGTAGAGTGTGGTGTGATAATGATAAAATTCATTCGAGGAAAAATGACAAATTAAAGACATTTCAGAGATAAAGAAACTAAACCGCTAGCTAAGTTAGCTATAGCTAGTAGCTAGGCTAATTTACAACAATGGAACGTTACGTTACAAGAATAAATACCTATATAATTTAATCCAGAGCATTTATTACTACACCCAACTCAAATCTTAATGTGATTTCGATGCCTATTTTGACATTTAATCATTTATTGAAGTAACTTAGAAACTGAGGGGTGCAAATAAACGATCCCATGTTAGTTAATTAAATGAATGAAGTCTAACGAACAACAAAGATAAACACACTATTGGTAAATAAGTTATATCGTTATCTCACTTATAGTTCTATTAAGACGTTTAACTTACGTAAATCTTGAAAAGTGATTTATTTAGTGTTTCTTCTCGACTCTGCAACGTGCGCTTGTCGCTATCACGTACCTATTTGAGCCCTTTCCGCCTACCCACAAGGCCACAGTGGTTCAATGTAGTGCTTCCTGTGGTGCATTGTGGGACTTGTATTACTGAGCCAATATATCGCCCGTATGAGGATAAAATCTTGATTATGTTGCGGTGTTATTATAGGCTTCCAGTTTGTTCCAATTGTTTAAGGTGCCTGTGGAAAGTCTGCTCCGTTTCTTGCTAGAATATTGAAGTTTTTTGCCAGACCCTTGATAATGTGTCACCTGAATCACAAGATCATATGCAAGCCTGTCTGCTGAATTAATTCTAACCACACATTTTCTATAGATTTACTCACAAGAAGAACCAAGTTAAAATTGCAAGAGTTTATGCAGTCTGTAGCTACATAAATATCTATGCAAACCACGACCCCTATTAATAGGCCATACACTAACATCACATATAGACTACTCTATATTTATTTTTTAATCATGTAAGACAAATTCAGGTAAGACATTTACTTTTTTACTTTCTCTCACTAGATCAAGGTCTAACCAATATATTTTAGCCTACATACAATATGTTTTATGTATGCTTACTATTCATATTTCTACTCCATTAGCCTGAAACAGAGTCCTAAAACCATGGAAAGATAATGAGACACTGCACCTTTAGGCACAGACATGTAAAGGCCTGAACCTCTAAGAGCAAGACTCACAAATTGCAGTCATGTGAGTTGTAGTCTTTTTATGTGTTCGTGTAGTTGTTTTGTTTCTTTGTTGGTCTTTTGCATCTGTTTGCACCCATTTAGAGTTGATGTCTCCACTGGGTGGTTTTCCTATCATTGTTCCTGCTGGAGCCTTGTGTGTCAATGCAAATTATAGCATCTAGACTTAATAGTTAAGGCGTGTGTCTCCACCAGTTTCTTGTTTATTTGTTTATTTTTTAAAATTATCATTGCATAAAAACCTACATTTGAATCACCCATAAGTACACAATTCTTCTAACCCTTAATCTCAGAACATGGGAAAAAATATTAAATGACATGGCTTTATTTATTGAAATAGCCCTGTCCATGACCATAAAGTGTAAACAGTTGTGTTTTTTGAGTAAACATACATTACATGAGCAAGATGCATACCCATGTATGTTTATTCCTGGAGACATGTCTCTGGGAGTGCTTTAAGGCACCTAAATGTTGCTTAATGCAGGTCTTTCCCACTGTGGAAGAGCTTTTTAATGAGAAAAAAAGCATAATGACACAATAAAAGACTTCATCATATGAACCTTCACTTGATTTCCATTGCATTAGGCTCAGTTTGTACATGCTGTAAACACTTCTTGCTGAGTAGTGTGTGGTCACGATTATGTACTTTACCTATGTGCGTGGGTGTGAGAGAGAAGAGTTTTTCAGTGTGTGCTGAAAGTAGCCACATTACAGCCATATGAATGATATTTGAATCAAACAAGCTCTATTTTGTACATGACTGTTTACAGGCCTGTAGACATCACTGCCACTGAATCACTTTTCACATAGTTGTTGAACCAGCAACAGACACTTGTTGCCTGACAGTTATCAAATCAGTGATCAGACAAGCAACATCAAGTGTTCTGTAGCTATCCAGCAGAGAGAAATGACATGGAGCACACCTAACTGCTGTCAAACAACATAAACATATTCCCCTAGATGTCAAAGAGCTGTTTCATTGGTCACTCAGACCATTAGTTGCAGCTCTTAGACACACTTTAGTTTGTTTATGCTTCATCTATAGCAGTAAGAAGTTTGCTGTTCTTATGAGTTCATGGCAAAACTGATCATTAATATTTCAGTGTTGACTGAAAATCATTCAGGGTTGTAGCAGAAATGGAGCTCAGCTGCTTAGAAATAGAAAACTAGTATATAATTAAGGGTTGTAATTTTCCAGTTGGTAAAAACAATATAGATGGCCATTTCAAAAGGTGACATGATACATTACATAACTCTGCAGATCAAAAATGTAAAGTTTCTTGAGTCCCTTTAATCTTAATCACCTTTATTTGGCCAGGTATGTTACACACACACAAGGAATTTGTTTCCAGTACAGAACCAAGGCAGCCATCTGCGGCGCCAACTCACACTGATGGCTCTAACCATTGGGGGCAACTTGGGGGTTCAGTGTCTTGTCTTGACACTTTGATATGTGGACTGCAGGCACCGTGATTTAAGCCTCTAACCCTTTGATTGGGAGATGACTGCTGTACCCACTGAACCGTAGTCTCCCCCCTTTAAATTATTGCAAGTTACAGTGCTGTTCAGAACACAGTTTACCACACATTAAGATGCACATTGTTTTAAAGACATGAAACCGCAAAAGGATATTTAGCTCGGATACATTTAAGCATCCCCCATTTTTAAAATCCTCTTGCTTTTGACAATTCTGTTATGTGCTTCTAGTTCTGATCAAATTCAGTGAGAGTTGATGAGAACAAAGATATTAAGCAGATCAAAGTATTACCTCACAATCAGTTTATCTAATTTCAGGAATACCTCGTTCTGATTTGCTGCTGCTTCTTCTTGTATCTACTTCATGTTGTCATGTTTGCACACTGTTTATGGTTTATGGTAATGGATATATATTTTAAATACTGTTGTCATGATACTTTTGTGCGCTCTGTTGAGCAGGCACAGTCACTCTCTTTTAGGGAGAGAGCATGAACATTCACAAAAGCAATGCAGCTCCCACTGTCTTTCACCTCCAAAACTTATGTTGTTCCCCTTAGATATGTGACTGACTCCGCTCCATCCTGTGCAGCACATTCCATGATGCACTGCTGCTGTTGCGTTCCTGAAGGTGTGCTATCCTGTATTTGGTGTTCATTGGGTATGTAGCTGCTTGGCACAGTGTCTAACTTTGATGTCCATTGGCAGTAGGTGTCATGAGTATCTTTTGGTGGAGTTTCTTTAGGACTGGGCTCCAGGATGTAACTATTTACCACTGTGACACATGATGGCGTACGGGAAGAGGTGTCCATGTTACTGCTGCTCCCAACACCTCTGCCATTACCACTCCCAACCCCAAACCTATGTCTGTCTCTTCGACCCAGCAAGTGCTGGTGCAGTATTTTCCTAAAGGTCTGTCTGAACTCTTGAATGCAGTAAGCATAGATGATGGGATTCAAAACAGAATTGGCATGGGAGAGGATGATGGCAATGTTTAGCACCCAGATATGTGGGCGTTTACAGTCCTGACAGAGGTGGTTGACACAGTTGATGATGTGCACTGGAAGCCAACATAAAGCAAACAAACCTACAATGATGGCTAGTGACTTGGCAGCATGCAGTTCCTTCTGCAGGGTCGAATAAGATGACTTCGAAGATGAGGTTAATTCTCCTGGAGCAGGTGTGTGTGCAGCTTTGCGCCGGAGCTGACGTTGTGCAGCTTTGAAGATATGGGCATATATGACCAGCATGACTATCAGAGGTACCAGCACACAGCCAAAGAAATTGAAGTAGATCATATAGTCCATGCTAATCACACTTTCAAACAGGCACTCAGTCATACCTTCAGAACAGCTGTTGCTGCTGGAGTTCCAACCTGTGCAGCAGAGGCAGGGGTGATTAATTGCCAGTTTCTTTTAATAACATTACTAAATACAATTTTGTTCCATGACAAAAAAAAGTCTTTAAGTTAAACTGTTCTTCATATGCAAGTCATTGTGCATAGTTTGGATTTCAGACCTCTAATCTAGCACTTGGCCTCAGCACTCATATATCACCTCAACAACAACAACCATTTTAATAGCCTTTTAATTGTCAGTTTTATTCAGTGGTTGTTTTAATAAGAGGATGTTGAGGCTGTGTTTGGTGTTTTGTTTACTTTGAATAACTCATGACTGCTAGTTACCCATAAATTCAGATTTCTGGCTTTAAACTCTATGAAACACATGTAAACCAAAACTTGGGCATCAAACCAGCTCCTCAGAAACATACAGACAAAGTAACAGGTGCCACATCTATGCTTTTCTACTGTCATGTTTGCAGGCATTGAAAGCATATGTTTATATTTGCCAAACACAGATCTCCTACCTTGGTTCCAGCCCAGCACTGGAGTCAGGCCAATGCCTGCTGAGAGGAGCCAGCACAAAGCAATGATGCCCCCTGCCCTTTGCCCTGTCATTAAACTGTTGTACCTGAAAGGTTGGGCAAAAGACAATAACACATTATAGCCAAATGCTTTATCTAATCTCACTGTGATCTTTGAGGCAAAGTCAATATTTGGTGAGGAGAAAATGGTTGTGTATTCTAGCCTGAATGCATTGCTTTTTTAATAAATCAAAGCAAGAATTTGTGTTGTCCTGCTAAAGATGTATTTAATGTTGCATTACTAGTTTTAAAGTACAGACCGCATCAAGGCCTGATAATGCCATCAATACTGAATACAGCATTTTAGCAGGTGGAAATACAGTGTGAAATTTTACTGTGTAGTGTCGTATTACACTGCAAACGCTTAAAATAAATGTGCTGTGCATTTCCTTCCTATTTTGTAATTCACTGAAACATTTCTTTGTTGCGGGCATGTGTTCATTGCTTCATGCAGGCATAAAGGAAGGCACACATTTGATTAAAAATAACACATCATCATGGATAACTAAGTATTTTTGGTAACATAACCTGTCATCTCATCTCCATCCTCATACGGTGTCTGATGAATTCTCTTTAGTGCCAGAATCTGTCTGCTTATGCAAATGTATCACCAGTTGTGACTTACTAGAGGAAATATCCTATCATGATTTGCCTACACACAAAATAACTGTTGCAGACAAAATACCTGTTGTGGAAACAAATGAACAAGGAATTTAGTTGTAAGCTGCTATCTGAGTGACTATTTTAACAAGAGCCATCAGTGTGAGTTGGTGCCGCAGATGGCTGCCTCGGTTCTGTACCGGAAACAAATTCCAAAAGAGAAATTATTTTGAAAACATGATTGTCACTATCAAAAAAATGCTGCTCATTCATTGTGTCCCTGAAAGACCAAGACAGACTGGGGTGAACTAAATTTGGCTGAAGTTAAAGAGTAGAAAGCTGTCTCCCTGTTTTAGCTGATGTGAACTTTCTCTTTCTTCTCACCTGAGTGGATTCTCAATAGCAATGTAGCGGTCCACGGCGATTGCCAGAAGGCTGAAGATAGAGCTCTGGGTGACCACAAGGACGAAGCAAGTGATGAACAGGCAGCCATAGAAGCTGGTGCATAAGCCGATACTGATGTTTGCAAAAGAACATTACAGGTCATAAAAAGCATATCATTTCTCAAAATTTGCATATTACAAATTTAATAAAGCAGTGTTTTGCAGTCTGAGAGTTTGCGCGTGATCCAAGGTTGCACTTTTTTTTTGAGTGTTATTTAAAAAAAAGACAATTAAGAAATGTTTAAATGAAATAGCAAACATAATGATACCTGATGGTGATGGCAAAGGGAATCGCCAGCAGTCCCACAGCAATATCAGCCACTGCCAGTGACACAACAAAGTAGTTGGTGATGCTCTGCAGGTTGGAATTGAGGCAGACGGCCCAGCAGACAAGAATGTTCCCAACCACAGCCAGGCAGGCGATCACCAGCTCCAGGCCAATGTAGACCAGCTGGTGAATTTCCTGCATGGTTATTTTTTTCCTCTTTTTTGTTTTCTTTGCACTTTCATCCCACACTCTCAGCTACTTGACATGTTTTCAGACAAAATACCTGCTTGCCAAACCTCATGCTAAGACTTAAGGGAAATGTGGTTGTGTCACAGGGAAATAACCAAAGGAGGAAGTCCCCCCCCCCCAAATGTCAGGTTTGTGATGCCTGATTTCACTCACACCTTTTTACTTCCCCACACACACTGTGGCACTGTTGGCCTTTGTGTTTTTTGTGTTCAGCTCGGTAAACTTTGTCACAGATGGCAGCAGAATATTGAGAAGGGTGCGTCTGAGAGTTTGGCCCGGCAGCTGCCAAATTAAGAGCAGTGGTCTGGAAAGAGAGAGAGAGTAACAGAGAGAACACAAAGTCAGTGGTATAGCCTGACCAAACAGATTGTAGGTTACCACACAGTCATGGGTGCGCTCACACATACAGTACTGTAGGTCAGAAAAACCATCTGTCACTGGAAGACAGGGGGACAGTTTGCTTTCTACACAGGGCCAAATCAGACAGTCCAACAGTGTACCTTTTATTTCAGGCGAAGCTTCTCAAAACACTTTCACACATTAATCATTCCCACCACTGATGTGTTTTCCTCGAAAATCACCAATAATTACACTAAATAAGCATCCTTTAAATTTGAATCCCATTGTGCTATTACAGGAACACTTTGTTAAACTATCTGCATTTGTTCAGGATATTCTACTGTCTATTGTAGGAAAATTAGGATTTATTATTACAAATAGTGGAAGAGTAAAACCTTCACAAAGAAGGAATTTGAATGAAATGTAGGCTAAGTTGTTCAGTTTACTAGGGCACAGCAGTTCAAGGGCATGACAACATACAGTAGGCCATTCCAGATCGCTTCAGGTATTAATAGCTGAAGCTGGATTGATTCTGTAGTTATATTAGTTAGTACACTATTGCTTGAATTCTCTCCAGTAGTTAGAAATTAAATGAAACTATCTTTGAGCTAGAGAAAGGAAACAAGGCTGTTGTGGACATTTATGTGAAATCAGGTCTGTTTGTTAGTTATGGAGCTAGAGAGCTGCCTAGTAGTACCACTAAATACCCAGTCATTAACACATTTTATCTGATTGCTCTAGTCTATACACAAACCAAATTGTAAAAATAAGTTATAGTTATGCAGGTAGTGAGGTGCTGTAATGTCTACCTCCACTGTTGCTACACATCAGTCCTCTTTTTCTTTATCTCTTACATTAAAAAAACAAGTGCATTCAAAAAAAAAAAAGCTTAACTATTTCTTTGATAGAACTAATCAAAAATTTTTTTTTTTTTTTGTAATGCATTTACACAAAAACTAACAAACAAACACGTCAATAACATTTGCTGATTTTTAACCTAATATTGATATATTGGCTTCAAAACTAGCCCTGCGATGGATTGGCGACCTGTCCAGGGTATACCCCGCCTTCGCCCGTTAGCTGACCGGGATTGGCTCCGGCCCCCCCCGTGACCCCGCTCAGGGAACAAACGGTAGAAAATGAATGAATGAATGAATGGCTTCAAAACTATAGTATCAAACAGGCTATAACACCAGCATTAAAATGGCCCACATTCCATGACACAAAACTTACATTAAGAACATATTTCTATCTCCTGTGAGTGTGGAGACAAAACCTACAGAGTAGATATATGCTTAAAATGAAAGTTATTAACTACATTGAAGGAAAAAGATCTGTGATGTGAATGTAATATGATATAGTTCCTGCCACCAAGACCCATACATGTAGTAAAATGGATGTATATGGCAGTTAGATGTTTAACTTACAGGCTTTTCACTTCTCAAATGAACTGGACTCACCTGTAAAGCATATACACATTCATAGAAGTTGTCACATTATTAATCTACCTCTTTTGGCCACACAAAGCCCTGTAGCTCTACCAGCAGTGATCCTAATTCAGACCAAAGTCCTATACTGAAAGCTTCTCACAGTCCACAAGAATTTAAAAACCAGGGTTTATTTAGCTGGTCTGGAAAACAACTATTGTTCAGCCTTTGAGTTTATTTAAGACCTCAAGAGGCTTCAAAAATGCCTGAACATGCAAACAAACAAACAAACAAAAAGTTTGCAGGCTGTAACATAGGTCAGCACGTGGTAGGCTTTATTGTTAAACCTTCTTCCACTTTGGCAAAACGTCTCCCCATTATTATAAAAATAGATTGAGGCACTGGAGGAAGTGATAAGAAAAAAATGCACGTCCTGCTGGTGGGGATCTGTCATTGCTCTGTCACTCAGTATAGCATTCAGTTCCACCAAAGTCAAAGGAAAATAAAGAAAAAAGCTCTCGTATTGGCGAAAAGGCCCCTGATGAGGGAGGTACTGACATCACAGTGTAAACTCTTGATAGCAGGCCGGAAACAAAAAGAGAGACATAAACATAATCTGAGCCAAGCAATACTACTGAGCAATCGCTACAGTACGTCATGTGTTTAATGTAAGACATTAACACACTATGCTTTAGGTTTATTGTTGTCACAAAGCCAAACTTTATAAAAACGGCCAATAAGAAAGTTAATTGATAGAAAAGGGAAAAGGCCGATCTCCTATAAGGGTCTGTTTTTACAGATCAGCCTTGCAAATTAAGGTAAATTCACATAAATTATACTTACAAATACAGATCATTTATTTTTTCGGATAATATTATTAATAGTCTATCTAAGTCTAATTCATCAACTCCACATGACGCATTGAATGTGTCAGTTAAAGAATAACACCTATTAAACTGTTGCTACACATAGTCCTAACATTTAAGATATAAAAAAAAATGTCTAAACACGCAGAAAACAGTAATACTTTCCTTACCTTACAGTTGGCGTGAAAAGAAATAGCTTCCCACTGTGTTCAGATGAGCTGTTGATTGACTGGCAGCGCAGCGCACAATAAAAAGCAGAAGAACACAATATGCGGATTAGTTTAAGCCAGAAACTTGAAAGTGGAGAACCAAACTGAATCAGGAAGAAAAGGTACAAGTCCTCTAAGACAATAACGCTGCTCATGTTCGGGTTGTACTAAGTTCAAAAATGCGCACTAGTTCACCGCAGCAGGAAAACGCGCACCCGCAGGAGCCGCCTCTTATTTTGTGTACCTATGTGTGAATGTATGAGTGAAAGAGAAAATGTGTATGTGTGTGTGTGTGTGTGTGTGTGTGTGTCTGTGTGCGTTTAGGAGGGTTTCTGGTAAGCCGTGACGTACCGACGGATGGAAAGTGTTAAAGTGAATGAAACAAGGGGGGAACATTCAATTAACAGACGTTACAGTAAATAAATCCGATACCTGCTCAGTTTCACATCACATAATTGTAAGAATGCCACTTCTGAGTGCACGTACATATCCTGCAATGTGTTTGATTTGTTGTAAATTGTTGTAAATGAGGTTGTGCGTAAAAATACACACTCAAACATAAGGACTGTAGACTGTGCGTATACGCTTAAAGGTTAAGTGCTGAATGCAATTTACAGTACACCCGGTTTTGGCTGCATCTTCATGTTGTATAGTCATTGGGCTGCCGCCTATGTTTATTCATTAAACTATGCAAAATACCACAGAGTGGCGCTGTTTTGTTACACATCATTTTGTGGTTTAACTAGGTTCTGCTCAGTCAGACCCGCCTATCAAAAGGCTTTAAGGATCCAACAGACCTGTTCTAGGGCAGTGTGTGAGACTTTCCTGGTCAGACTAGAAGAGAAGGCATCAACAAGTCTGCAGTGCTCCTATCACATCTTGTGGAGAGTCTAGGCCAACCTGATTTTGCTCTCTGCTATAAGGTGGGTTAAGAAAGCAATAAAAGCAAAAGTGTCAGATTTGTCAGTATATGGACCCATCAAAACACTTAATAGGAGAAATTATAGAGGTTGTTATTCCAGCATCCATCAAATCAGTGCATGTTCTTCTGTGTTTTGATATGATTGAAGGGTGTAAACAGTCAGAAGATGTTGGAAAAGGCTTCTACACTAAACCCACAGCTAAATAAAGGTACATATGGAGCATCACCACCAACATCTCCCAAATACTGCTGTACCCTAAGGTCTTCTTGAGACATTAAGTCGTGTCAGATTGTCACAATAGACAAAACTTGTAGGAATAATCAATAGGAGTCATTGTTAGTCTTCTTCCTTGTCCCTGCTACATACGCCAGATAGATTTTACAACATGTAATGAAATGAAACACTATAAAACTCTTAGTTAGCACTTGTGTGTTCTCTGTGCAAGCTTCTTCCAGGCTGACTGAATTATTTCAAAGGCTGCAGGCTTATCTCTATTTTAAGAAAATAATGAAATGTTTCATTCTATATAGATACAGGAGATTTTATTTAACATTTTTGTGTACAAACATAGGCTGCAAATGCCTTTGAAACGTTTGTCCTCAGAATACAGAATTCTTTTATACAGTTCTACAGGCAGAACGTTGAATATTGAACAGGGGCAAGAGTCAAAATTGAGAAACGTAAAAACAGAGTTTGTGGTTCTTCAGCAAGTCTCATCATCAGCTTTATGTGTAGAACAAAACAAAATTAGCATTCTCCCCAAATGTCTCATTAATGTAAGACATGGTGGTACCAGAGTATTAACTGTAGTATGGAAATATGGTGATATTTACCAGGGTCATGTATAATAAATGTAAGAGAGTCATAACTTTCATATAGAGTCATATGTTCCATATGTTCAGGTTATTGCACAGAAAAGTTAAACCTTTATTGTTGTATTTACTTTTTCATGTACAGAACTAAAGGAGTGAGGTAATGGAAGGAACTGAGCCGAGGAGGTTACATGCAGTTACACTGACAATCAACAGACCAAAACAATGCAGATTTCAGAGTAATATAAAACTCTTCTCTACCAGATACTGACAGTTTGGCTTTCCCAAAGAGACTAGAGGTGGACCAGTTTGATCAACCCTTCACGATCATACTGTATGTCAGCGAATGCCACAATAAATAAAACAGAAAGCAAATTATGTACTCTGTAGTATAATACATATTATATGTACACCTCTATGGAAAAGTAGGAGATGTTTGAGCTACATAAACTCACAGAATCTACCTTTTAAATGGATGAGAACCTGCACCTGCTAGTCAGTTATCTAAATCAGATAGCTGAACAATCACAGTGACCAGTCTGTTGGTCTACACAAATAACTACACAGATGAGCCAATAATGCAGGAGTTGGGGGTTACCAGGTGTTGTACACATGGGTTGTGGTTCAGGGACAAAACAGAGACAAACTGCTGTTGATATTTGGTAAGCAGACTACAACATAAGACTTACATTTTACCAAAGAAAGTACCCCCTGTGAAGACAACTATTCCTAACATTAGTTAGCTCTAGATGACATTATATAATAAATAAATAGATCCAGTGGACCTTATTATACCAAAATAGATCAAAGCATAAATAGTCAAAAACAAAGGAACTGAAAATGTAAGAGCAAAAACAAAAATATGGGCAAGAATTTCTGCCCTTTGCACCATTAGGACAGACTTTATAACAAAGTTTGAATTACAGCATCACAGTCAGATGAGGGTAGCAGGCATGTGCAGGATGAGCTAAGATGATGCTTAAGCTTAAGGTTCTGTTTTAGTCTTTCAGAGGTGAAAAATGTGTGGCTGTCCTCAGTAAAGGCAACAGCAGGCTGAACAAGGTTTCCATCATCAGAGTGACTGACATTTAGAGTATCACAAGCGCTGGCATCAAACAAAAGCAAATGTGTTGAGGCACGAGAGGGTAAAGTGGTGTAGGCAACTGGGACTTGTTATAAAGGTGATGTATGAATTTATGAATGAACGGTGCATTCATACTCACAGTCACATCCTGCAATATACAGTAAACAATGAAAGATTGTGAGCATGCTAAAAGAAATCTGTGCTGTGAATGAAGGCATGAACATGAACAGCTCTAGTAATGGACTTCACATGATAATGGTGTTTTAATTATAATGTATAGACTACGTTGACATCAGAAAACAAGCATTCAGCTATTGAACTTTTCTTTGAGCTCAGTTTTCTTGACATTTGGAGAGTTGACATGTATCCAAAAAAAAAAAAAAAAAAAA